CCAGCCACGTACCTAACTCCACATACACCGGCTCAACCGCCGGGGATGATACGTTTTTAGAATATCTCCGTGGTGTATAATCACGGAACAGACGTTCGATAAACCGGACGGATGCAAATTGGAATTTTTAATTATCTCCTTTTATCCGTTTAAGTGAAAATAAAATTTTCTGTCGAGGACAAAAATATCCCTTGCACGCTGTCATTTTCGTCCTATGTCCCAAACACTGTTAACATTTTTTGAGGGCCGTAATCGTTGCGATCCTGTAGTTCTAATTAATGAAAAAGAAAAAAGAGAAGGATTGTTTGAAACACTATATCCGGCGTTTCGCTGGGAATTAAATCTACGAAACAGGGAACGGTAATCACGGAACTTTTATCGGTCTCACCCCTCCGAGCGTATAATCGTCGGCAATCGAGGTATTTTATAAGCCCCCGTCTGCTTGTTTGCCAGTGAAATTCCACTGGAAATAGAAATCAAATACGAATCGTTATCCTGCGTGGAACGGTAACGGAAACGCTTGTTGGACGCGAGGGTTCCGGTGTATATAATTCGATTCGCGTCGCGATTAAATCCCCTTTCGATAGAACGAGGGTGGTCTTTCTTTTTCTCCCGGCGCGTTTCCAACACGCGATACCACGGCACGTCGCTAGATAAACCGGTATTAATTCAGTGACCTGGATCGTCGGGGGCGAGTTCTTCGCCGAGTTACCGGCCAATACCACTTTATTTCCACTTTATTACGTTAAAAATCCGCGATGCGTTCGCTCCGCGCCAGACGACGGATTGAACGATCCTTTCGGACCGATTCGACTTAACGAGCGAAAAAATAGACTCCGACTGCGTTCGTTAATCCCACTTTCCCGCGATACTCCTCGCCGTTCTCTTCCGCGTTTTCCACGAGATTTTTCCGCGTTGAAAGAAAGAATTCTCCAGCCATCGAATTTCGTTCGCTCCGTTCGATTTCCGCGCTGTTCCATCGTTACGTGGAATATTTCCACGAGTACTTAGAACGAGTCGTACAGTCTCGGTGCGAATTCCGGAGACATTATCTTACTTTTCGATACCTCGCGTCGCTTTGGTTCTTCTTGGACTACCTCCGCGATGTTTTCGACGGCGCCAGCACGAGTAACGGTTTGAAATACGATATATGGGTGTTGAGAAATGGCAGCGGTAACCATAATTCGCCGGAGAAGACGAGGAGATTGGACGAGATGCGTAAACTGGAAAAGTGGGATGTAAAGCGAGAAGAGACAGAAGGGTAGTGGAAATAAGCCAAGGCTCTTTCTCTGATTTATCGAGGGATGATTACTCGGTTACGTTGAAAATGGAAATCTTAAATTTAGGTCGATTCCCTGCGAGGAGGTATGATCCGAGCAACGAAATCGGCTATGATTACCGATTATATTCGACGATCGATCGCCGGGACGTCCGATCGAACATCCGGTAAAACACGGACGAGTCGGGAAGAAATTAAAAAACGATCGGGATTGCGAAAGTTCGGTTAAGAATGGCGGCATGTCGGTGGAAAAGTTGGGAGAAAGAAGCGTATGCTCACGGTAGAATATATTATATAACCAGCGTAGCAGGGAACTCTCCTTTCCTTCCGAATCCTTTCCTCTCCTCGATTCGCGATCGCATTACACAGATCTGGAACCTTTCCAACGGAGCAAGTTCGTGATTTTTAGACTGAAAATTGAGGCGAAAAGTGTATGCAAAGTGTGTCTGGATTTTTCTCAGATTCCACCGTCCGCTTTCAGATCCGACGATACGATCTTCCGGTTCTACGCCGGAGTCCATCTGTCTTTTCGTTTAGGACGCGTTGAATTAACGGGCCCGCTTATTCATTCCGAGGGGGGCCAAAGCTCGCTCGTATTTCGGTCGAACGTTTCGGGGTGGAGATCGAGCGATCGAACGAAAATCGGCCATTGCGAGTGATTCGGGGGATGTTTCCCATCCTGCGCGAAATATTCGGTAAAGGTGCAAAGAGGTAATAATCAGGAGAAATGGCGAGAATTGGTATTAATAACGAAGGAATTCGGGCGAGATGGGAATCGACGGTGGAATTTAAAATTTGTTGAATTCGTAATATCGGTCTCTGGGGTTCCGCTCCGAATGCTCGCTGATCAGAGAGCCCTGTATTATCTCTTCGACGTAAAAGGATGACGAGTCCCCACATTTCGGTCATAGAAATTAACCGGTCGATGGACGTTTAACGTCCTCGAGATCGGTAATAATAATTCGGACGTCGCGCAGTGCAGGTTCATCTTCATCGTGGTTTCGAGCGAGGTTTATTTTTCGGAATCGTTGGCGAAATATCGGGAAACCCGTTTCCGTTTGCCACGCGATTTTGTATTAATTTTTCCACGGCGTTTTAAGCGGCATTCGGGCCCTGTTCTCGAACGGATACGTCGCCGGTTTCGCGAAAACGGTGGAATAAAATTTCAAACTACGCGTGCAGATTTATCGAGCGGACAGGCTCACCTTTTTCAGTTCGCCGAATGAAACGCAAAACTTGGATGCTTCCGCTCTCTTTCTCTTCCTCGCCGACTCGCCCACCGCCTCTCGGCCACCCCTTCGCCACCCTCCTTTTCCGCCTCGCGTCCACCGTGTATCCCGGCATCGCGAAAATCTCGATGAAATTGTGGATAGAGGACGCAAATGGGAAGCAGCAGCGGCAAGGATTCTTGCGCTGTCCCCGTCGTAGTTTTTGTTTCGCCCCGGATTCCCTTTTGAAGTGAACGGACCCGTGAATAATGAACCGCTTCAGCCCCGATACATCCTATCGGAAAAATTGGAAAATATCTGACACAAAGTACCGTCGCTAAATGTTCCCGTGTTTTTTTCTTCTCCTTTTCTTTTTCCCTTTTCTCTTTTTACTCGCTCTCGCGTCTCTCTCTCTCTCCTTTTGCCGAACCCCTCCGCGGGAAATGCTTCGTGTAATTTCTGTCCTGTTTACCAGCGGATTCGGTAACTCGATCGACCAGTCGTAGGACGTATTTTCCAAATGTCTGCAAACCACCCCGTTCCCCTAGAAATTATTTCGAATAAACCCGATACTCCGCTTGCCGATCAACGGAAGCTTTTCTCTGTTTTCGCAGTCTTTGTGGATACCGGGGGGTGACACGAATCTCGCGAATCATCCTAATTTTAATCCCAGTAATCCGACGTTATTTTCTCATTCGGATTTTTACGAGGCTTCTTGGATTTACCCTCTGTCTCTCGAAGCCTCGTATCTCTCTTATCGACTCGGTCCCCCTTCCAGCTATCCGCATCGAGGCAGCCGGATCGAAATCGGGGAGTCAACAGGAATAGATTTATCGCGTTATGATAAGTCTGTTCTCATTGTTCGGTTGTGAGAAGATGGAAGAGAGGAAGGTCGGATATACGGCGAAACGGGTATTGGTATTCCCGGTGAGCGCGTATTTTATTACGCGAAATCGGGACACGTGTCAGAGATGGCAATTTCGATGGCCCCGAAAAATCTGCACGCGTTTTCCTTTCCATAATCCATTTCGTTGGGCGTCCCGTGCAGCAGTTTTTGGCAAGATCGAGAGCACGGAGGGATTTAATGAACGTGACTGGATCTTATCGGCGGGGAAACGAAACTCCGGAACGGCGGGGATCTCGTTGAAACGCCTGGCACACTCTTGGACTACATAAACACGATCAATTTGGATGGAAAACATGATTCTTATTACTGCTATTCTCTTCTCCCCCATTCTCCGTCCCATCTCCACTCTCGGGGATAAATTTACGTTTTCTCGTTTCCAGCTCTCGTAACGACGAACCTCCGCGCCGGCTGGAAAAACGCGGCATTGTTGGATCGAGATGCTCGTGAATAACAACGAGACGGGGAAATCGTTGGTTAACACTTTGCCGATTTTCCACGGGAGCCGTAACATCGCGAGATACGTAGCTGTTAAGGACGTAATTTAAATCCTCGCGTTTCCATTAGCCTCGCGTGTTCCACCGACGATGGGTTTCTATTATCCTTTCATTAAAAAGGGGTTAGGCTACGTAGATATCTGTACAGGCCCGCGATCTCATGTTGCTAATTTATCCCTACAAACTTATTGACCTGATTAATTTCGGTTAATGCGCAAGATGTTTGAAATATGAAGTTACAATTTTCCCACTGCGTGTATCGCGCTAATTATCGCTAACGGCGAGGGGATGAAACGCTGCTGCGACTGTTTTCGAATCTCCAATTTCCGCGAACAATTATCTTAAGTAATATCGCTTCATGCCGAGTTCCGTAATTGTTACCAACTCGTAGACATTTGTTCTCGCGTTTCAATCCAGCTTGCTGCTCGAATCGCCCACCCCTTAGGCGCGTCGAATTCATAAATTCCAGCTTGATTAGAGGAAGCTCCTTTCCGAGCTCTCGCCTTGTAATTCCAAAATGCTTCAGATCGAGAGCTCTGGAGATGACTGAAGTAAAGAAAAATTCCTGAAACGTCGTGGATATTGCGGAATGAAGGTACTATTTCGCGTTAAGACAAGCTTTAACACTCGAGGGGGGTTGGTGCAGAGGATACGATATCTTCGAAAAGCTCTGACCCACGGTCTAGTCGCCAACGAATTGTTTCTTCTGGGGCCTAGCCCAAACGTTGGAAGGGGTTCGCGAGGGAACCAACCCCCATTGACTCGGGACCCTCGATGTCTCTAGGAGTGGAAACAGTATCTAAGTTTTCCTTTTCCACGTCGACGAATGCGTTCCTCCATGTTTCAAAAATATTTAGAAATGTCCTTTTAAAGAAGAAAAGTATCGGGAAACTTTAAATTTTGCAAAAATGGAAACAATAAGTCGCTCGAATGAGACAATCTCTAATCGAGTCCACGTCGAATTATCTCATCCCCTTGTAACGTTTCGACCAGTCACCCTGTTTCAGCGTGGAATCCGTCGGATGGACAGCTGGAATGTGTATCCGGCGAGATTTTTCATCGTTACGGGGTCAGGAATCGGAGAGCTTATCGGGTGGTTGGATTTGTTGCAGATGCACCCCGTGGGACGTACCTGCTGATAGATGGTCGTCGGTTGGACCCGGGTAACCAGTTCGTCCCTGTGAAGGAGGGCTCCGAGCTGACGTTGGAGTGTGCTGCCGAGGGTGGAAACCCACCGCCCGATTTAGCATGGTCGATGACCCTGTCTCAGGCCATTTTGGACGGTCCGGAGCAACTGCCGGACAATCTGACCGTGTTGCCCTCGACGTCAGGCGGACGCAGCGGGGCTCACCTTAAGGTCCTGAGGGGTCACCATAACGCCACGATCTCCTGCGTGGCTCGTCACATCACTCTGAAGACACCCATGAAAGCGAGCATTCTCCTGGACGTCCAATGTGAGTAACGTAACCGAGTATTTCTTTCATTTCTGGGCTCGGTTGCCCGACAAGGCGAGGCCAGAGCTCCGGGGTCCTTTGACTAGAGCCAGGCTTGGAGTTTGGTTAGCCTGGCTAGCGGTAGATTACCTAATACGTGGATCCGGCTACGGTTGTCGCGTTGGAAGTTGCTCGAAGGATCGTTGGGGGTATTAGTCCAATGGCTTTTTGCGGGACTACGTTGGCCTTGGTATGGTTGCCTCTGGTATCGAGAGGTTCGGTTTGGTAGGTGGTTTTGTCGTTCGCTGGTAGTTTGCACGGGGCTGTTTTGGAATATGTATATCGATGGTTCAAAGGTGGGATTCCAAAGTTTTGTTGGACAAGAAGCGAGCTTACGCGTAGTCTGGTGTAACGATCTTCGGTAAATGCTAGGGCGGATTTCGGGGTACAAATTAAGTCGAAAGTTTAGAACACGCGCGAGACGTATTCAAACGTCTTTCTGGCGTTGTACAAAAGCGGCATTGAAATGCAGTCGTAGTTGGGCTTTGTCCGACAAACGCCGTCTCATTTTCGTTCGCACAATGCCTCGTGCTGAATTTATGAATTCACCGGCATTCTATTTATATTCCGTTGCGTCGTACACGAGTTCCTCGTAAAATTTCAACGACGAATGAAACGGTTCGCGGCAGGCTGTAAGATTTCATCGAAAAGATCGTCAGCGCGGACACTGTGACAACTGTGATGTCGCATTTTAAACCGTCTTTATGCAGCTGCGGAGTTATCGTCGCTGTCTCGTCCCGAAGTCTCATCACCTTAGTCTGGCCTGAAACTATCGTATAATTTTCAGCGTTTCAGCGTAAGCTGTCTCGTCACTCGCTCGTCTCGTCTGGTCTTCGACCTTTCCATTTTTTCTCGGAAACGCTCGTCGCTCGTGACCCGCACCTTCCGCGCCGTAAAACTTCCGACATACCGTGTTCGAGCTCGGCAATCCTTCGATGCTTCATAAAATAATAGAAAACCTCTCCCCTTTCATCAACGCGAGAGCAATCCTACCAAATAGCGCGTAGCTTGCCCCTTTTTATATATAAAAATATATAATCGGTGAAATTTTTTAAACCAACGACTTTTGTACGATTCGAATATTTTTGGACACTTCTATAGATTTAAACGATCAACGAGAGGGTGAAAAAAGACGATAACCGGTCACGGCTTTCACGCTAATGAAAATTCACGGTAAAACAGCAGATTGTTTCCCTCGTTCGCAAGCAGAGTTAATGTTTCATTCCTATATCGTACCGAATATCACATAGGAAAATACAAAATTACGCAGCAGCAGATTGTTTCCCTCGTTCGCAAATAGCAGAGTTAATGTTTCATTCCTATATCGTACCGAATATCACATAGGAAAATACAAAATTACGCGGAATCGCGTTCATTATGCATCCCCGTATCCATTCATCAAGGAAAGATCAAGACCGCTACTTAATAGTCTACTTAATAACGTGCGCGAGCCCAAGCCTGAATACCTGAGCAATTTGTATTCCCGTTTCTGGGTCCGTAGGAAGTTGTATCCCGTTTCTGCGACTGCAACAATTTACCAAGATAATGCGGATTTAGAGCAGCGAGCAATTAAAACTTATTAATAGCGACACCACGCGTCCCCCTGTCCGAGAAACTATCCCTCATGCGCGTACTCGCTGGTTCCTATACTACGCCGAAACCTTTCGAGAACCGGGAAAAAAGAAGAGAAGAGAAACGCTAACGCTTGCACAACGATGTTCATCGACATTCAACGACATTCACCCCGTCGTTTCGCCGATTCATCCGGGACGCACCCCTAAACCAACGGCCATTCTCGCAATTAGGTCAGCAATCCCATCCCCATACTTTCGCTATCGCGGTCTAATCCCCGAAGTCTCGTCTCGAACCAAGCGAATCCTATTTATCCCTCGTCCCCCTGCCTCGTTCGGCATATATCGTCGTTATGAAGGTTGTAGCGAGGATAGAAGGGTACAGAGGCAGAACGGAGGAAAAGTTACGAGCGTATTATTTAGTTGATGCCGCGTTGAAATTGCCAGTGGCCACGGTCGAGATCTAATTTCCGTAGACTTCGCAGCCAGCACGATTCCCGTTGAAATATTAGCTAGAAGAAATCGCGATACGGGGCCTGGAGGGCGAAAAAAGCGGCGGCCGGTGGCGGGGGGCGCGTTTTAAAAATGGGCTTAATTCAAGTCGAGCGGCCAGGAAGTGTTATAATTCCGCGGATCGTTTTTCCCCCGGCCTGGTCTGCGCTTGATGGGGTGAGGGGTGGACAGGAGCGTAGCAGCTAGCGGGATTTCCCTGGTATTAGAACCGGGACGAACGCCGGGAAACGAGTATTGTTGTTCGAACGAGGATGGTACGCGTGGAACTGGCTGATGCCGTGATTTAATTAACTCGCCTTTCTTCCTTGTCGTTCCGCGTCGCGCTGGGTATTTCATTCAAGGAGAAACAGTCCGAAGAAATTTTCAGTAACGCCAGATTTATTTAACCGACTGGTTAGGAGTGTGCGAATTAACGGCTGAACGTGCGATCGCGTCTCAGATATTTCCGTTCCGACAGCTGTATCCGATTCGTAGCACATCGTCGGAAATTGAATTACGCGCAGATAGCGAATCTTTGCTTAGCGCGTGAGGTAAACTGCTAATAATCGTGGAAGTTTGATTTATTTATTTATTTACGGGAATAACTTAATATAGATACAGCAACGAAGAAGCGAGTATATTATCGGCGATCTTAAGTAGAACGGAGTATTAACTACGATATAGTTACAAATAGCACGGATGATAAATGGAACTGACGTTACCTATCAACTCGGACGCAGATCGTTTATCACGCATCTGCGAAAGAAAGGGCGGAAAACCTGGTCGACTGGGAGACGAAAAAATACGATTATCGTAGACACTGCGCCGTGTCCGATACCTGATCGAAACGATACCATGGACCCGTGCATGGAAAAACACGCAACAGGGCGAATAATTCGATCACAGGCGCGAACTGGCGGAGGGGTGAACGGAAGAAAGTAGAATGTTGAGAATTTCCGATGACGACTACCCTCGCGCGCCATTTTTCGGATTATTAACCCCCGGGCTATTTCCTCGAAATTTTGCAACGGCCGGGAATTCGTCGGGGCTCGTGGCCCTGGGCCGTTTATTGTTGGAGTAAATTTTCCAGCGGCACCGGAGACTCGGCCGTTTATTGCGATCAAATTAGAGCGGTTGATGCAACCCTGGTGTGGAACTAGTTTCTTCCAGGCGTCTCGTAAAATCTAGCACGCCCGGGAAAGAGATCCCGGCGTCCCTATCTCACCCTGAGGAACGAAGCAACCGGGGACAACAAAGCCGAGCAAGAAGGGAAGAAACGTTAACCGCGCGCGGTAACGTGCGGCGTGCACGCCTTATTTTCTCTTGGTCAACTTCTTGCGCTGTCTTCTCGACGAGCCGAGGAGAGCCTGTTGGAGTTTTCGAAAGCGGTTATACGTCCCTCCCGGGAGCTGGCTTCGTTCCTGCACGTAAAATCACACGGGTCGTTTAAACGGATTGAATCTCGCGCGTCCAACGTCTCAGGAATTCCGCGATGACACGAGGCTGCTGGTGAAATTTTTCCAATTAAATTTTTCCCTCCCCGTATAATCGCGAGGAACTCGACGGAGTTACCGAGCGGGAATTACTTTCGTTCCGTTGTCTGCGAGAGTTTGCTTGCCTGTTTGCTTGCTCTCGCTTCGGCTGGTCCCATATCTCATACGCTGACTCGATTTTGCCCGAGTAAACTCGTAGGGGATGAATTCGTCTTGGAACAGGAGACGATGTATTTTAACGAGAAGAGTTTCCGGGATGGGAGAATTCGCTGTGGGTTTTTGCGAAGTCTCCAAAGGGTTCTTGCAGGGGGATTTTTTTTTATCGTTAATCGCGTTTGAATTTTATCGGCGAGGTCCGAAAAGTGGATTAGGTTTTCTGATAAAATGAAATTTTTATGGTATTCGTTGTATACGAGGACAGTGTAAGATGTCGGTGTCGCGTGACAAAGGGTCCGTCTTCGGTGAGTCTGGAGCACACGGTGACCCGATATCGGACGCCGAGACAGGCAGACGATCGTAAAATAATGGACCGAACCTAGGATCTGTTAGACAACTATCGGTATAAGAATTTGTTTGTTCGATTCCTCGCGGAAATTGAACCTCGATTTCAACAACGCTGTCGAGTATTGTCAATTTCTCTGCATTCGTGCACCCCTTTCTCTCTGTTCTGCTCCATTACTCGCGGTACGGCTTTTTTCCCGCAAATTATACGGTTACCACGGACCGTTCCATCATTTCTGGTTCCCATGAAGTTTTCTCTTTCTCGAAATCCTCTGGCCGCAACGAGAACCCATTGTGTCTCGACGTCACTTCGTCCCCTTAATTCTTCCGCGCTTGTTCTCCGGTGGGTGGGAAGGAAACTGCGGTCAGTTACGAGTTCGTGAAACGGAAGCTCGGCCGTGGTCGTTCGATTCTTCGCGGAAGCAGAAGAAAAGAAAGAGAAAAGGCGAAGAAAAGGGGGAAAGGGAAAAAGAAAGCATGGGAGCAGAAAAGGAGGTCGTTAATATCGAAATCGGCCATGAGAAACGATGATCGTTGCTGTCCTGTATTTCTTCCGTATTAATTCGCGTTTCTCTATACGTTCAAAGACATGCCGTGTTATTCCTGCGAGACGTCGATATTTCTTGAAAATTTTTGATATTTTAACTGAAATGTCTGTGACGTGACGAGAACCAGGCTACGAGACGTAACTTGCACGTTTGCTCGGTCGAGTTCGATCGTCGTAAAGTTCGTACGAGTTTCGCGAAAGACACACAGACACTCGCGTGCGCTAATGCACGTCTGTGTCCCGACTATGTATGGAGAAGGAACAATTATCAGTCCGACGTTGGATGACTCTGAAAGTTTCGATTTGAGAATTACGGCCGGCAAGACGGGAAGTTTCGCGTGGATCCGTTACGAACGA